AAGCAGTGCTCCTCCATGGCCTCTGGTTCAGTTCCTGCCTGCTTTGAATTCCTGGCACTTTCCCTCAGTGATGGACTGTGACCTGAAAGTTGAAATAAGCCCTGTTCCTCCTTCGTCTTGGTTTTGATCATCATTTTATTACAGCAGCAGAAAGCAAAAATAAGACAGCTTGCAACTATGTAAAAGAAGATGCTCTCATAAACAAAGCTAACTGAAGCTATAATCTGAAATACATTTCAATTTTAGTTGTCTTAGAGTGTTTGCATGAAATGGTCCTGGGGTCCCTGGTGATGGTTCCGTGAGTCTATCTACAGCTGTAGATCTGGGTTACATTCTTTGCTTCATCCAATTCACTTTTTTATCAACTTGTGGGATCGTCTGACCACAATACAGATTCATCAAGGCCTCCGTGTTTCTGCTGCTGAGACCAGAGTTGTTAAATGAGATTTTCACTCTCAGTCAAGTCATGGTAACTGCTGTACTGGTTATTTGCTTGATTTCACCTCTTTCATATTCTCAGGCAAGAAAGATGAAACGGGAGCTTATTAAAAGTTATATTCCACAGTAAATTCCTAAAACATCTCTCTGGAGATTCCTAAAACAATCTTATTTTCTTCTACCATGAAGGAAGTTTAGGTTGCCATGATTAAAAAACACTCTAACCAAAATCAGCTCAGGGGAACAAAGAGTTGGTTTGGGTTCCACTCGAAGGTTACAGTCCATCATGGAAGGAAATCAGGGAAGGGACCCAAGCATGAATGTAAAGAGTAGAACATGGATCATGGTGGCTTACTTGCAGGCTCATGTTTTGCTGGCTTTTTGTAAATATACATCCCAGGACCACTTGCCCAGGGTACAGTGCCACCCACAGTGGTCTAAGTCTTTCTATATCAATGAACAATTGAGAGATTCCCCTATCGATGACCTGGGTCACTCTTATAAAGAAAATTACTTGATCAAGACTTCTTTCCCAGTTAGTTCTAGACATGCCATGTTGGCAATCAATGTTGCTAGGAGAGAAACCTTACTTTTCTCAACAAGTAGTCTAAATTTCATATCTACACTATGATATATCTTATGGAATATAGCATAGACAATAATCACAAAAAGTCACTAAATTGAGTTAATTGGTCACATAACTTTTTGCCCATGTATGAAATAGCAGGTGTTTGTTTGGCTTCTTTGTGTGGTTATGTGATATAAATATATAGTGAGGTCAGAATTCCAGAGTATACAGGAAGCTTGGCTCTTAAACTTTAGGATAAAAGTGAGTATATAAGTTAAAAGATACGCCAAAGCTTTCAGTAGGTTTTACTAAAACTATCTGAGCTTCATGCAATGAGACTGGTTACTTGATAGCATCGAAGGTGATGGACAGGGCAGGGTGGTACACATCTCTGATCCCAACACTTGAGAGGGAGAGGCAAGAGGATCAGAATGGCAAACAAACAAAAATCATCACGGCCCCAAAGATTAAACAAGTGATTTGGAGTATCTATAATGAGATCTGCAAATGTAAATAACTGTCTTCCAGGAGTTGAAATGTGTTTACTTCAGCTTACATGTCCGTTTATGTTTAGATGTTCATAAAACATTTATCATTTGGAACTACTCAAAAAGTAAATAAAATCCTGGGGACTATCATTTTATGTATAAAAGAAATAATTACAAAGTAACAATATTTGTAAAAGTTTCATTGTGGTAACCTCATGCAACAATTGGTTGAATAACACAAAGGAAATTTTGCTTTCCTCCCTGCTTAATGGTGGATTGGGTAGAAATATTTTCCTGACCTTGGAAGTTACTTAGTCTTTTATATGTGAGTTATTTATTTATATCTTAATGTATGTATTACCGCTAAGAATAGAGGTTGGCCCAGCTAAGCTGTTCAATTATTTTTTTTCTAAACAAGACACTACAAGTGAAACACAAGGTAGAAAATGTTGTGTCTTCCATGTTTATGCCAAACCTATAAATCTAAGGATGCACACCATAAACAAATAGGTCAAGCCCTTACAGTTAAGTGCTGTAGCATCTTTGTTTAGTCAAGTAAACAATAATTAATAGAAAATCGGATTGTTCTGTAAGTTTCCTGTTCTTCATGAATAATGGGCCTTGCTTTGTGGTCTCAAGCAGCAGGGAATAATTAAAATGGACCAAATTGTGAGAGATAATATAATGGACCAAAATTATTATGCAGTTCCCAGCATAAGGATAATGCATGTGAGTTCCTATTAAATATACCAATAGTCTGTCACACCGCCGAGGAGAATCTGAAAGGGCAAATATGAATGACATTTCTATCAAATTGGAACTGTCCACCTGTCACACGTCCTTGGGGCCCTGCACTTTTTGCCTTTCAGACATGTACACTGCCTTGGAGGAAATATTAAAAGTTGCCGTGCGTCTTTAGCCTTCATAAACAATCGAGGCCCCCGTCAGCATGCGCCTGTAATGCTCTCCATGTCTAAAGCTTAGACATGTGACATTTCACCGTGTCATGATCCCCCGTCCCCTCAGATTCATCAGTGCTGTCACCCTCCTCCTGGCCCACGCTCTCACTCTTCTGTCGATGTGTCCCAGCTCTAGGAATACATCCCACCTTAGCCTCCCTCCATCTTAGTACACAGTCAAGGGCAACAACCGCCTTTAACTTCCCAAAGCTCTTTGGGAAACATTTTACAGGAGTTTGCCATCCTGTCGTAAGGGTGTCACTGAAGCCCTAGTGTTCACACAGAGGGTAGACAAGCGTGCGCCAGGTAGTGGGGAGAGGAGCACATGGGACATTACAGTTACACAGCAAGTAGCAGTAATAGTCTACCAGGCTCTCAGGATACTCGGCGTCATTGGTGGAGAAGGTACTGATTCTTATCCCAGAACTCCTCCACTCCACCCCTGCACCAGGCCAATCATTTGTGCACACCACTGTTTCTAATCTTATTAATACATATCCCAACCAAATTTCAAAGATTGAGGTCATACTGCATATTTTAAATTGTGTACCCTTTCATTGATGAAGCTTTTTGTAACCTAGTGTTTACTTTTTTAATTGCCTCTTTTGTAAGCCAGTAGCTGCCAACCTTTAGAGTACACTAGAATTACTGGAAAATGCTCATCCAAACACATGTTGTTGGGCCCCACATCCAAGCATCTGCAACGGTTTGCCCTGCATCCAGTTCTCAGGTTCTCCAGGCAGTACTGGCCCATGAACAGCTCTTTCAGAACCAATGGAATGGGCACACACATTACTTCGGGGTTCCTGCCAACTGAGGCATCCTGTAGGTTCTGTCTGAACAGCTCAACTGGGTGTTTCGGGTTAAGTAGACCTTTATACATCTTAAGTGTAACAATGTTTCTCTAAGTCATATACCTTATCAGGTAGGGAACTATCTTACTTGACTGCTTACCAAGAGTCTACTAATGGATAGAATTTCATGTAATAGCTATTAACTTACTCTGTATCTCTAATGCAACCCTATGGCAAATTTGAATTACGTCATGGGTATAAACGGGGACAACAACAGCAAAAAGTGCTTTTCTTTGCAACTCAAAGCAGAGTTTAAGAAAGAAGGCTATGAGAACACTTCTATCCACAGGATTCCTAGATGCATAGAGTCTATAACTTTACCATGAGCTCCTTTCAAACAAAAGCTTGCACTACATACCTTCTTGTCTTGTGCCACCATGATTTGCCTTATGAAGTGATTTGTTTTAATAGCAGTGCACACACACACACACACACACACACAAAGTTCTACTGCCTCTGAAAATCTAAAAGTTACAGTTTGTTTTTGCCTTTTAGTTTGTTTTTCAAGAGGTATGAATGACTAATTGTAGTGAGAAATGGTTCTAGAATTTGCTCATACACAACCACATGTGTGTGTTTGTATGTTTATATGTATGAATATAGTGAAAAGGTAAATTTTTGTAGAGATTAGCATGTGCCTCCCTACTATTTATTTACCCTATTTGATAAAGATAGTTTCACTTTAAAGCAAAGTATCTGCTATTGATAAACATCACATATACTCTTAACTCATGAAATAATATTTAAAAGGAAACTGAACTTTCATTCTATTGTAAAACTTCAGCAGTACTGAATCTGATACAAACAATTGTCTGAATGTTCCAATTTTAGAGCATAAAAGAAGAATAAAATAGCTTGTGGTGGTGAGTGAGCAATGTGGTGTTTTTCTGATTCCCTCGATGGAATAGAAATCCAGCAGAATTGTATCCACAGCTATGATGTAGTTGATAACCTGGGAGTTAACAGAGAAGGGTATAAAATTGAGAAACGCTCTTCAAGCATAGAATAATTAAGTCACTAATGTACTGAACTGGTCTAGAAGAGATGTTCATGCCAAGGAATATTTTGAGCATTATTCAGGGTTTTATTTCATGAATGTTGTGATGCTTACTTGGGTGTTGAGGTAATACACAGTTATCATAATGCTAATTATGTTAATTTCATTTGTGAATTAAAAACTAAAATTATTTCTGTGAAACAATGGGGAAATAATTATTTTCTTTGAAACTTGTGTGATTATTTTATCCAATTTGGAGAGCAGTTCCGTTCAGAGCCATGCACACAGGGATGGTCCAGGTACTGCCTCTACACCAGAGGTCTAAAAATGAAAACAAAACAGAAGCAGCTGACCAGCATCATAAGCTTATATGAACTGCGTACAAATGTCTCACAATGAAAGTGCATGTCAACAGACATTAGCTTCCTAAGAGTATTTCTTTCAGGATGTATCACATGACTGCTCTCCCTCTCTCTCTCTGGATAATAGACAGTGTGTGTGCTTTCTGTTATACAATTGGGGCTCTGTAATATGCAGCTGACAGTGACACCGTGTCAGTAGCTAACCAAACACTGTAATGTGGAGCGTACAGGTTCAGGTCACAGATGGGAAATGGCAGGCTATGTAGCTGTGTTTTTCCTGATGTCTCTGGTCAGCCTTTCCTTGTCACAGCTCATGTTCTGATGACCCTTGCAGGATGAAGTGGCCCAGCCACTGAACCTATCAGCTAAACCCAAGACCTCGGATGGCAAACCACCCACCTCACCCACCTCTCCCCACATGCCAGCTCTGAGAATAAACAGTGGGGCGGGCCCCCTCAAAGCCTCTGCCCCAGCAGCATTAGCTAGTCCTTCAGCAAGAGTTAGCACAATAGGTAAGTCCTGTTTCTCTTGTTCTTGTTGACTTTCGGTTTATGGCAATTGAATGGAATCGTCTGAGATGGTGTGTCCCTGAGAAAATGAGGGAGATGTCATTTGAATTACTACCATAAGGTCTGTTTTAAACACGCAAGTGAAATTTTTAACTCAGATTTCTATGCCCCTGACAATCTAAAAGTACTAGTTATAATTACGTGTGAAACTTTGCCTTTTAGCTTATTTTTTTAAAAACAGGCATAAATGTCTAATTGCAGTGAAAAATGGTTCCAGAATTTTGCTTCCAAGTGACTTTTCTATCACAGATTTTTTTCCCACTTTTGTGATGTGTACAGATATATAATGAGGCATACATTCTGTTTGGGTCAATTTTCAACCATGAAATATGAAGTTTGCTCTGTTCTACTCTGATTGCACACAAACAGGGCCTGTGAAAAGTAGTGTCTTTGGTTTTCCTGTAACTATAATTTATGATGACTTAAGCAACACTATTATTTTTATTTTTCATGCATGAATTAAAATGTACTGAATTCAGCACACAGTCATTGATATGTTTATTACTTCTGTCTGATTAGGAAGCCTCTAGCACAGATTAACCCCTAGGTAGAACAGGATTACTTTGGGAGAGGTTGCAATCTAGCTCATAAATACTAAAGGCTACTCCAGAGCACACCTGTAATCCTATAGTCGAAGAGGAGAGTGCTTTATTCTACTGAGAAGAATCAAGACTTACCAAGAGCACTACTCAAACTAAACTTTGAATAACTGACATATTTATAGGCATTCTAGGCTGTAAAAAATGAGGAAGAACTCAGAAAAATGTGCACCTGTGACATGCAGGCACTTGGCTAGAAAGCTGGGTAACGTGGCATAAATTGGTGGAAGAAAAAAATGGAAATATGTGGATGAGAATGGGGTGGAACACTCTCATATGAGATTTTGACTTTTTCCTTCACAGAGAAATGTGATCAGAACTTTATGTGTTAACGAGTGAACAATATTGTTCACTGGAAGCACTGTTATCGTATGTGGTAAGGGTGTGTTCCACGAGATGGGAATAAGCAAAGAGGGCTCTGGAGGGATGGAGGAATATGAAAAGGGATCTGTAAAAGTCACCTGCACCAGAGTGGAGACAGAGGAGCCTAGGAGTTTCAAATATCCATGAACAAGAAGGGCAGAATTGGAAAGAGGACATAAAAATGAAATTTAGTATGTGTTAAATTCCAAGAACAAGGCAACATTTAGTTAGAGGTACTCAGGAAGAACCTGCAACTATTTGATATGTCAAATCAAAGACAGGGTGTTGGATGCAGAGATTAGTACTTGACTAGAGCATTTCGCTAGAAATGAGTGTGTCTAGTAAGAAGAACCATGATTTTATTAGCTAATGGTTGCATAAAAACAAGCCTCCAAGCTGCCCCTCACTGTACATTTTCTCAGTTCATAAGGAGAAACCCAGCTACCTATTGCTGCCTTAGGTTATTTCAAACAATTATAGTGAAGATGCTAGCCAGAGCATCAGGCCCCTTTGGACCTAACTGCAGGTAGACAACTCATTTGCCTCCCTGAAAGATGGAAACCTCAGTTCTTAATCGCACAAACCGTCTCCATAGCTCCTTATCACATGGGAGGAAAGCTCCCCAGTGAGTGAACCCGAAAGGAGAGCAGAGAAAGTCCTGGTGTTTGTGGCCTGCCCATCAAATTCCATCCAGTCTGTTCTAATATTCTGAAATCCCACTCTACAAAGAGAGAATTAAACTCCAACTTTTGAAGGGAAAAGTTTCAAAGGTGTTTTTGAACATATCTTAAATCTACCACACACTTTTCTAGGTAGAAAACTGCTGAATAAGACTGTCCAAAAGTAATGAAGAATAAATGCCATTTATGTAAGTGGTGTGGGGGAACCTTCAGTCAGTACAGTAACTATTAGAAGCACAAGGAAATCACACTAAAAAGAAAGCCTATATATGTAAGCACTGTGGGAAAGCCTTCAGTCAGTGAGCAGAGCTCCATGAAAAATCTCACACCGAAAAGAAATCCTGTTTATGGGAGAAGTTTGGGATAGGATTCATTTCTTCCCAGCACCTTTGAACTTCATAAAAGAACTTCCATTGTAGAGAAATCCTATGCTTGTAAGACAAATGCAACAATGGGGCAATATAAGGTTGGCCCTAAGAAACGTTTCACAGAGAGGTTATTTGATGGTGGCACATTCTGTGGAAGAGCAGAAGAGCCTTAGGGTTTAGCTGGGGTTCTCAGGCAGGTAGACTCTGAAACCAAAGTGGAGTGATTTCACCAGACTCCCAGTTGCAACCGTTTGGAGAGTGGGACAGTCCAGTGAATGATAGAGTTGGCAATGTGGACTCATCTTCTAAATGTGATGTTGAGAAGTGACAGGGTGAGTTGAGTAGACATAGGTTTTAAAATGGAGATGGATAGGTAGGTGGGTAGGTGGGTAGATAGATAGATAGATAGATAGATAGATAGATAGATAGATGGGTGGATGATGGGTGGGTGGATGGATGGATGGGTGGATGGGTAGATATACAGATATTCCTCTCCAATGAAGAAGAGGAGAAAAGTAGAGAGATGCACAGGCCTGAGAGTGAGGTGACAGTACTTACAGCAAAGAGAAAGGACTGCTAGAAGGACTTGACTTAGGAAAAGGAGAAACTGGGTCTTGGGTTTCTGACAGGAGGAAGCAGAAAATTAGTTCAGATTCAGAGAAACTGAAAACTAGACAGAAAAGAGGTATTTCCAAATGCTTTAATTTTACATAGCAGAACTTAAGATGATTTGTTAGCAGTAATTCAGCACAGGGCAGGGGGCATTCAGATAAGAACCTTTGAAAGTGGAAGCTTGGAATCTGCACGTATGTCTCACTGCTTTAGCCTAATATTAACTTACTCTGCCCCGTGTCCTAAAGGACATGAGACTAGATTTGTTTCTATGTGTAGGAAAATATTTGATTTGGCGAAAAGGATTCACTTCCTTTAAAAAATGGAGTTAATAAATGTCACAGTGTTGACATATGGCCTACTTTTAAAATATTACTCAACCTCTGCTTTCTAATAAAATGACTATATACATATAATTTCATAAATTATCAGATATGTATGTGTGTAGATAGTTTTACTTCAACATCCCAAAGACTAAGTATAACCAAGCATTTCATAAAGGCAAGAATATATTTAGTGATACTTATCATATGGCTTTCTCTGTTACAATAATAAAACATCTCCTTCCCCCACCTTGGTCCTTTTACCATATCTACAGCCCTCATATTTTCCAAGGGTTTGAGGCCACTACAATTTACTTTTCTCTTTTCAACAAATGTAGATGTTGAAAGCTGGAACTATAATGAGAAATAATGTAGTTGGATAAAAGCCGGGAGGATTAATGGTGTTGTAAAGGTCACCCTGAAAGAAAAATTAATGTGTTAGGCCATTAATAAACCATGGAAAACTGTGGACCAAAAGATAACTTTGAGTTATCATTAATGACACTCAGCTCTTTGCTATATATCTATTAGCTACACATACGGAAAGTGACTTTTTGAGGGTGGTGGCCGATATACTCTAATGAGTATGTTCTACAAGAATGCTTTTGATTGGTAGATACATGGTAGGCGTCTGCAAAGAAAATAGAGCTTTAGCACAAATAGTCCAAAAGAACAGTGGATGATTTGAGACTTTTTGGGCAGATGTCACTACCCCTGCATAGGCCCTTTCTACCTATGTTTGGCATATGTTTATTTATGTAAACATTCCTCAAAGTACTTCTTATCCATTTCCTCACTCTATCTATTATAAACAATAGGCCGTTAGGCAGAGCAGATGCTCAGGTGCTCTAGTCCAGCATTCCTATTTTATAGGGAGCTGAGGCAGATAGTTGCCTCTGCAGGAATCCAGAATAAGTTCTTTGGGAGCATAAACTAGCTCTGATATGACTTCTTGCTTCGGTGACAAGAAGCCAATCCAGGGCCTCCCATGTGCCAAGCATGTGCTTAATGACTGAGATTCACTCCTAGACCCCTTTATTTTACGGAAATATTTGTGTGGTGACTGCCTTAGTTAGGGTTTCTATTGCTGTGAAGAGACACCATGCCCACAGAATCTCTTATAAAGAAAGACATTTAGTTGAGGTGGCTTACAGTTCAGAGGTTTAGTCCCTTGTCGTCATGGAGGGACATGACAATGCAGGCAGACATGGTGCTAGAGAAGCTTGGCTCACAAGGCAACAGGAAGTGGTCTGTCTCACCTGAGGTGGCTTGAGCATAGATGAGACCTCAAAGCCCACCTCCACAGTGACATACTTCCTCCAATAAGGCCACACCTCCTAATGGTGCCAGTCCCTTTGGCAGTCATTTTCCTTCAAACCACCATAGTAACTTGGGAGTTTATTTGTCTATACTGAGCTCCTTAGGGCAGCAGTTGAGGTCCCTGAGTTGGCATTCTTTCTGGCTACAGTTGCCTCTCTGGCTAGATAACCTATCTTATTGGTTTATCTTTATCCTTCCTCTCATCCATGTAAGTGAGAGTTAAATACCTTCTGTGTGAGCTAATGCAACACACGAGCATGTAAGTGTGCTTGCTGCTAAGCCTGAAATCCTGAGTTCTAATCCTAGGATGTACAATGGAGAATGAGAGACCTGACTCATACAAATTGTCATCTGCCTTCTGCACCCACATTCTGGTACTCACACATAGACACACATACACACTTATACATAGACATAGACACACACACACACACACTTAAACATAGACACATATATTCACACAGACACATATATTCACACATAGACACATATATTCACACATAGATACTCACACATAGACATACATACACACACTTACACACTTTCACATAGACACACATATTCACACATAGACATAGACACACATACACACACTTATACACAGACACATATATTCACACATAAGCATAGACACACATTCTGGTACTCACACATACACATAGACATATATATTCACAC